GCGGAGCTGCAGAAAGCTCAGGAGGGATCTGTGTGTGTGTGTGTTTGTGTTTGTGTGTGGGTGCTGCAAAGGTGTGCGTGTAAGAAGACAAAGGACTTCCCCCTCATGCCTTACGGTGGAGATTACTTCCAGGCGAACACACACCTTTTATGATGGTTGTGTGTGACCGTCGGCCCGCGGTACACAGTATCAACGGGGTCAGGTGGGCAGTGAAGCAGCTGCAATGCTTCTCTCTGCTCGCGGTTTCTGTCTGATTGGGATTTCCTGGAAATGTGTACTCCTTGACTTTTGGAATTACCTCTGCGATTTTTATTTCGTTTACTCTCTTCTGGGGATTTTTCCCTTTTTTTCCGTGGGAAAATGGTCCGTTTTGGTCGCTTGTCATCCTGGCACAGCTGGGACGTGCTGCACGTGGACCCTGAGGTCCCTCGGCCTCCTTCTTCTGACACGGAACCGACGGCATCTGACTGTCAGGTGAGGCTCCCTTCGCTGACACGCCGACGAGCGTAGACGCTTCAATAGAGCAGCATCACTGAGTGGCAATCAAAGAAAAAAGACTGTTCAACAACTTTTTTTATTATATTTTCATATAATAGTAAAAAACATGAAGCAAAGTGACATATTTGTTGGTTCTAGCTTGTCAAAGGCGAGGCTTTTCTGCGTCAAACACAAAGAGCAAAGTAAACGTATTTGGGGTTAAAGTGTTATTTAGATGAGATATATATATTTTTTTTCCCATACTAATCCATCAGGAAAAAAAACCATTGTGAAAATGTTTACGCTTGATTCTCAATTTGAGCATCATCCCCTGTTGTTTTCATTAATCCCGTCTGCTAAATGACTAAAGACCAGTCTGTTTGCCAGCCAGGTGAAGGTGGGCGGGGCCTGGGACATCCTTCACTTCATCGCGGCTCGCGGCTCCCACCTCAAAGCTTGTTTTTGTCTCGCTGCTGCATCGGGGTTGGAACGGCGACGGCCTTGAAACATGCAGCATGTGTTGACCAGGGTGGGGGGGCTGGGGGGTTTGTTTTAGTTTCTATTTCCTGGTTATGGACCTTGTGTTTTGGTGTGTGTGTGTGTGTGTGTGTTGCGGCTCTCAGTGCCGTTTTCTCATCGTTAATCAACCCACCTGATCAAGGGGACTAGTTATCAGTTGACATAAAGCCAGTAGCACAGGGGAGAAAGAGGGCAAGGGGGGGTCTCTGCTCTTTTTTTCCCATTTAAAGATTTTCTCCTCTCCCGGCCAAGGTTAATGCTACAAAGCACTCTGATAAGATAAGGCCACAAGGGGCCGCGAGGCTTGATATCGTTAAGGTGACCGCCCCCCCCCCCTGCGGGACCCAATGCACAAGTCGCCGTCCCCAGAGCGAGTAGCTTTGTCACAAAGAGCTTCTCCGGATCCGGCCGCCGTCTGTCCTGAGCGACACGTTTACACAGGAGGCACAGGGGAAAACCTTGTAAACATCATTAGTTCGCCAGACACAGAACAGAGCGGCTCAGTGTTAACCATGGGGGGGCGGAGTGAGGGGGGGTGGTTACTTGGACTGACAGAAATTGTTTCATTACCTGCGGAAATATAATCAAATCTGATTAAGATTATTAGGTTTTAGTGCTTCAAAAAGACATTTTCTCAATCTGTTAATTTGTATATTCTTTCTTGCTGTAGATGATACCCAACAGGGAGAGATGAGTTTCCTGTGGATCGACTGAATAGTTTTCCACGTCGCCAGACTTCCCTGTGGACTTTTAAAGCGGGTTCTGGGCTTTTGGCTTATCTGCTGGGGATAAGCAGCTTATTAAATGTGCCGAAACGTGCCAGTAAACAAAGGGAATTTCCCGCTCGGCCATTATCGGCCCATTTCTTGTTCCCTGTCTTGGCCAGCTCCCATTGTTCAAAGGTCTCGGGGGCAAAGCCGCGACTTGAGATAAAGAAGAGTGGCCCAGCTTCGAAAACGAAACGAGGTCCGTTTAAAGTTGCCCCGGCGTTGTTCTGATAATCACTTGGACGGACGGCTAATCTCAAGGAGGCTGCGTAGTGAGTTGTTGAGACTGACCTAAAGAGCAGCAGGACGTGTGTTTGGACTGGGGAGCTCCCCTGCAATCTGTCGCCCTGACTCCGCCTACGCATATTCAAATCGGCCTCCCCCCCTTTTTGTGTGTGTGTGTGTGTTTTTTTTTCTGCCCTCCCGGCCCTGCCTCCTCTTTCCTGCCCGACACAATGAGGCAGGATCCTCCCCGGTTGCTATGACTTCGGGGCCGGTGTCCGCGTGAAATGCAACCACCGACTGTTTGGCCAGCAGGACGGGACAGAGACACGTCCCGCTTCAAAGAGGAGCTGCCGATCGGGCACGGCTGGACGCGACAGCCAGACGTCGCAGACCCGGACCCCGTCGGCCGGAACGGGGCGCTTCAAGAACGAGCGAAGTTCAACGCCGGCCCCGCGATGGGGGAGCGCTAGCGGGGTTGTTTTTTTTTTTTTTTGGCGCTCTTTGCTCCTTGCACCTCCATATCGCAGGAGTCCAGGGCGCCGTGGATGCGTGTGTGTTTTTCCTCCCCCCTTGCCCCCCCCCCCCGGTGGATGTGGACGGAGACAAGAGGAGGCTGGAAGTTGACAGAGCGCAGCAGCTGGTTCCAGAATGGGCTGCGATCCATGAGTCCAATCGGAGGATTAGGATGGTTTTTGTTACTTTTGACATGCCTCTGGCTTCAATGGTGAGCACTGTTGACGCGGTGGGAAACGGTTGGAAGCTTCCGTCGCTGCATCCTTTTCTATTTTCAGCCGTCTGGCCTCGTCGTTGTGTTTTTGAGAGGGAAAAAAAAGGCCTCCTGTTAATTTGCTAATCAAGCTGAGTGCTTTCAGTTATCCGCAACTGCTGTTTATTTTTAATTTTGTTTATTAATTATGGGATATGCTCCCACGTGCCCCGTTGGTCCATGCAGACTGGACACTTCTTGACACCTGTGTCCTTGGCCTGTTGGCCAAAAATAAAATGAAAAATCCCCAAATGGGTGTAGGCTCGTTTTCCTTTAGACTTCAGAGACTTTTCTCCATTAGTTTTTGTTTTAAAGCCAGCGTTGTCTATTTGCAGTGAAGCCACTCTGCTCGTTGGTCATCGTCATTAAAATAAATAAATGAAAGGACTTTAAGCCGAAAAACCTTTAGGACCCCCCCCCCAGTCGGATTTACAATCTTGTTATGCAACGCTGTCGAGCCCATTTGTACGCTTTTACTTAAGTGGTCTCACAAAGGTCTGTGCACGCTCTTCTTAAAAAGGGAATCTATTCATAATGTTTACATCTCATTTTGTCACATAAACATGCCACGAGCTAATACACGGGGTTTCAGCTTAAGTGTAATGGAAGTTGTTTACTTCTCTGAGCTGGGAAGCGTGACCTCAGAAGGTTATCCAGGCTGCGTATCCATAGTCTGTTTAATCGAAGCTTTACTGTTTACGCGCTCCTGATTTTGTCCCCCTGGATTTTGCATTTTTTGTTTTCTTTTGACTGAGGAGGACACCGATATATCGTGATGAGGTGGTGCCTGCAGTATGAGAGGAGCTTTGCAAGGCTGTAAAAATGACATTGAGCTCCTCTCCTGCACGCTTTTGTGAAATAACTCTTTCATATTTTAGTGAAATGATTGATATTCAATACCTGGTTTCATCTAAGAATGCAGCGCTGAATAAGGGGAGTTTGTGTTTGGAGCACTGAGTAGATGGTGGGGTATTTTCTTTTGAAGGGGGGGGGGGGCACTAAAAGAATTTTGTTGGAATGGCCGGTCATTTTTAGCAACGTGTGTCAGTGTCCTGGAATGTTAAGGTCCTTGTCCCTGTATTTGAAGTGTGTGTGTGGGGGGGGGGGGGGGGGGGGT